TTTGCATTTCAGAGTGGGAGCCAGTGCCTTAGGGTAACTATGGCTCCCAGAGGCATCTGCAGGAGTCTGGGGACCCATCTCTTTTTGGCCTCCTTCTGAAGGCCAGCAGACCTTTCATAGGTGGCCACTCCCAGCCACAAGATATCCTGTCCCCAATGTCATGTCCACCCCCTCCATCCTCTTCTCCTTAGGTATGCTCCGTCTCCACTGCCACCAAATGCACAGTGTGCAAGCGCATGCTGTCCCTCTGCAAGGACGCACAGGTGCTCTTCATCTACCACGCATTGCCACCTTTTCCTGTCTCTGAATCGTAGGCACATCCTGTCTCAGGGCCTCACTGTAAACAAAGCCAAGGACACCTGTGCCAGAGCATGGCGGAAGGACGATGAGGTGGCTAGCAGGAGAGGGAATAATCGTGGTGGGAACCTCTGAGAAGACCCAAGGTAAGGTAAGGTCAAGAGAGTAGGAGCAGGGCCAAGCAGGCCCCTGTTTCCCATAACTGACACAGGGAAAACTTGGAAGTGAGGCCTAAGAAAGGAGGAAAGGGGAACTCCCACCCCAGATCTTGATGGAGGGCTGACATAAAGCTTCCAATTTCTTGCCACCTGGGATAGGGACTGGTGCTATCCCCATCCTGCCCCTTCCCTGTTTACTGGGCAGAGAGGCACATAGTTACTTCTAGCATGAGAGAAGGTCCAGGATCTGGCTTCAGGGAAGACTCAGGGAACACCCTCCAAGGGCCATGGAGTAGACTACTAAGCCACCTTTCCTCCCTCTGTGTCTGCAGCCCCTGGCTGCTGGCTTTGGCAAGTAATCAGTCCTTAAGTGAAACCAGAACTAGTCCTTAAGTGAAACTAGCCTCCTTGACTTCATGGAGCTGAGCCTGCCCTCCTCCCTATCAGACACTCACACCAGGAGCCAAGAGACCTTAAAGCCAAAAACAGCACCTATCCTTTAATTCCTGATTTGCTTCTGTTGTGGGAAACCAGGCCCAGGGTCTCCACCAATGAGTTCCATGCTCTGAGAGTGGGCTGATACTTGAGCCACTCTCGGGAACCCCCTTAGACCCCCATCCCCTCTTCCTTATCCCATGAAACTTGTGGACTCCTAGAGATGCCCTGCGATGCTGAACCCACGGCATCCCTCAGTCACCAGTAATGGGAGGAAGGGGCATGTCACCATTCCTCCCACTCCAGCCCCATCACCTGGTGCCCCGCCTGCCTGCTTTCCCATTGTCTTGCCCAGCTGCTTCACTTGTCACTGACACAAGAACACAGGCTCAGTTCCCCCACCTTATTTTCCCCTCTCCCCTGCTTTGGGAGCCCTGGTGGCTCTTATCTCTTATCTCACCAGTGTTGGAAGATCCTTGGCTTCCCAGATTCTGGGGAGATCAGGTGGTTGTCAGCTGGGTGTACCCCCTCTAAGTAGCTCGTTCAGAGCCACACACACTTGTGGTGTGGAAGCCCAGGCATAGGGCTTCTCCAGGTTGTTGGGCACAGACTATATGGGCCCCACTCCTGAGCTCACTCCCAAAGGGAAGAGCACAGCCCCGTAGTGGGCTGTGAGTCTGCAGGTCTGGAATAGTGCATCCAGCCTCCTGAACGGTCCTGTCATTGAGGTCTCTGTTGGGCACATTGAGATCCTGTACAGGTCCAGATGAGCACTGTGGACACGTATGTTTCCATCCAGGGATGACACAAGGTCCTGGGAAACACAGTGACCTTAAACAGTAGGGCCTGCCCAAGGTCACTGGCCTTGGTTCCCACCTCTGGGGACTGACTTATCCATGTGTCCCCAGAGCCAGCTCAGGGACTAGCACAGAGTGTCTTGTGCTAGGCTGACAAAGTGTGATGCGTCCACAAATAAGTCCTCTGGGAGCTAACTGCCCATTTAAAGAATAGTCATGTATAAAACCAGCAAGGAAGAAGAGGCTCACATTTGCTTTGTGGTATAGAAGAACATGACCTTCTCCTCAAAGGAAAAAGTATGCCTGCATTTGGCAAATTTACAAATAGAGTGGTTAGATGGGGTGGCACTGTGTGCTAATATTCCCAAGTGGTCATAATCACTACTTTGTACTGAAATCCTGTGTCCCTCAATGGAAGAACTGCAGAGAGATGACTAAGCCAGGCATTCAGTGAAAGCTGAAGACAGCCTGGCCCCACTAGGAGCTCTCAGCTTTTAAATTTAGGCTTCAGTCAGAATCAGAAACCAGAGAAATGGGGGAGGGATGCATCAAGAAAATTAGATGAACCCTGGTTCTTCTATACCACAAAGCAAATGTGAGCCCTGGTTCCAAATGTAATGTCCAAGCATTGCTTTATGAACATGCCCTGGTGATAGAGAACTGCAGATGGGTGAATCTGGCAGCATTAAATGACTGTCAGTGTGACTTGGGCAGGTGTGGAAGCATTTGGAGCCTATTTATATCTTGCATGGCATCAGTGTGCCTGCAAGTGTCATAGCCAATCTTGCTGCATTGTTTTCAAGCTCATGGTTACCAAATTAAGTTCTAAAATTGTTTAATTCATAAGGTAGATTTGTTGGGGAAACACCATCTCATATAACCCAGTATCCTCTGAGATGACATTGTATCTCACAACAGGATGTAACAACTGATGTCCATTTATTTTGTACAATCCCAAAGACAGAAAAAAACTGTGTGTTCTACATACTGTTGAATAAGGCTGAAAAGTATATACTATTTTCTTTCTTTCTTTCTTTTTATTAAGATGGAGTCTCGCTCTGTCGCCCAGGTTGGAGTGCAGTGGCATGATCTTGGCTCACTGCAACCTTCACCTCCTGGGTTCAAGCGATTCTCATGCCTAAGCCTCCCAAGTAACTGGGATTACAGTGTGCGCCACCACACCCAGCTAATTTTTTTGTATTTTTAGTAGAGACGGGGTTTCACAACGTTGGCCAGGCTGGTCTCAAACTCCTGACCTCAGGTGATCCACCTGCCTTGGCCTCCCAAAGTGCTGGGATTACAGGCGTGAGCCACCGCATCCAGCCATATTATTTTCATTGTCTACAAAAGACAGCTAAACCAAAAAGTATTGATATTCAAAACAGTAAGTTCTGATTTTGTGCAGTAGACCCCTGGTCACGTGCTCCGGAAGAGCAGCACAGCCATCTCAATCCATATCCTCTGGAAAGCAAAGCGCCTCAGTGGGCCCCCGCTGCCTCTTCAGCCTCACCGCCTGTGGGATGACAGATGTTCGGTAGGACTCCTGAAACAGCCTGTCCCAGACCTTCCGTCCCACCCACTATCCACAAATAAATGGGAAGTTAAACGTCAGAGCAGGAGGGCCAGCAAATAAATCCTGATATATGTTAGGGACCAGGAATTAAAGAAATTAGAATGGATAACATTGGTTGAGCATTTAATTTGTGTCAGATCCCAGACCAAGAGTCTACATTCTTTCATCTTCATAACAGCTCTATGATGAAGATTTTTATTATGAAGTTATTTGTGGCTATGACGAGTCTATCATCTCCATTTCACAGATGAGGAAACTGAAACCCAGAAAAGGTAAGTAACTTTTTAGAGGCTCTTCAGCTAGGGAACAGTGGAGCCAGGATTCAAACTCAGGATTGTCTGTCACCTTAACTCCTGCCTTTTTCTTAGCAGAAAAGTACTAAGTACGATGGAGGCATATACTGCTCCCCAAGGCTGAGAAAGTGTGACACATTAGAATAAATGGGCAGAACAGCACCCCAGCCAGGCTGCTTCCGTGTATCCAAAGGAGGCTGTGCACTTATTCTCAGGATGTGGTCTGCAGATAGCCCCTTTTCTCATCACCTGAGGCCAAAAAGTCAGTCTCATGATCTTCCAGCAGTCCCAACAGCCCGATGAGAATTTCCCAGCCAGTTCCCCCACCTCCTGCCCCAGACTTGGCTCTGAGTTATAGCTATTTACTTCCAATCACCACCCCTCATTCCCAAAAGCTTGAAGGTGCCCCACAACCCTGGACACATAAGGAGATGTATCATGGACTCTCTAAGGGCAGGTCCCAGAGGAAAGCTGGCCAGGAGTGTGTCTGATCCACGCTCCCCAGGATTTTCTGGCTCTCCAACCTCTGCTGCATGCTCAGCTTGTTCCTCAGCTGGCAGTGAGAATAATTCTACTTCAGAGGGCAGTGGCAAGCCCACCTGTTCTGACTTGGCTGCATTTCAGATCTTGAGACCATGAGCATATCAAACATTTAGGCAAATACATTGATTAAAACCCAAACATTTAGACACACATCGATTATTGCCATTTCAGATGTGAATGTGGCCTTCTCCCAAGAATCGAACCCTCACATCCTTTGGGTTTTCCCAAGATAATCATATCCCGGCCCCTTCCACTCATTTCAGGCTCAAACATGTATTGCAGCAGTTTGCTAATTGTTGGGTAGGCTGAGTCACATGGGCCTCGGACCCCTTGGGGTTCTTACCCAGATTTGGAGGTGGTGATCCCACCAGGTATGCCTTTCCCAGAGGCTGTGTAAGAGTGCTTCCCATGAGGGGAAGGTCCTAAACAACGGGCCTGCATTGCAATGTGGGGCTGAGGGAGATGAGGTCACAGCAGGCTCCAGGTTGAGGGCCCTTCCATATAGCCCCCCGTTTCTCAGCAAGCCCTTAGGGGCTTAACATGGAGTGTGTGGAGCATGCCTGGCCTCTTGACTGGCTTTGAAGTGGGCTTCCAGAAAGTTAATTAAATTTCCACAATGGTTTCCACGGGGAAATGCAAATAAAGTACTTTAGCCACAAAAATATGACTCCAAAATAAGCAGCAAAAAATTTAATGAGGTATTAAAAAGCAACACTATTACTCTATGAGAACACAAAACAGTTTAGTGTTGATACTCAAGTTAAATAATGACCTGTATATTTAGGACTGTGTTAGATTGAAAACTTAGTTACCAAAAATTATCAATCCCCCACACACTGAAGCACAGTCATAAATGCCTTGTATCTATGATTGAATAAAGACCAAATCTGCCTTGATGACTTACCCTGAAGAGCTTCTGTATTTTTGTCTGAAAATTTCAAACTGGGGAAGAGCAATGCCAGTTCTCTGTCAGCATCTTCTCTATCCCGGCTTCCATGGATGGCATTAAAGGGCATTTCTGTGCCATACTGAGCCCGAAGACTGGGAACATTGGCAAAATGTAAAAGAAACAATTGTTTCATTTGAAAAGAAATGTTTTGCTTTCTGGCAACATGATCACCAACTACCAATCAGCACCCTGCATTCCTGTGAAATTGCTTTCTCTGCAGGAAATACTAAGAATGGCAGCAATGATAATAGTAGCTAGCATTTATTTGGTCATAGCAGTGTGCTGGGCACATGGTTGGGTGCTTTACCTACACGATCCCATTGCATTTTCGCCACAGCCCTATGAGGGAGACTGCTGTTACCCCCGTTTTAAAGATATATGTGTAATGGTGTAAGCACAGGAGCTGGCATTTTGTCGATATTACTACCAGAGGCAAGGACCATACCAAGTGCTTGATATAGTTTTGTATAGTCATCCTTGCAATAACCTCATAAGATAATATATTGCTATGATTTCCTGTGTGTCAAACACTACTCTCGGTGAGATACATACATGTATGTGTGTATATATATATATATACACACACACTCGTGATGAATGCTCATATCCCCATTTTATAGTTGAGAGAACTCAAACTGAGAAAAGACTTGGAATGACCTAAGATCTGAATCCTGAGCTGGCTTTCACTGGCCCAGACTGCCCCATATATAAATGTTCCTGGTCCCCTTAAGCTACAAAGTACAGCTGGAGTTTCTTGGCCTAATTTTTTTTTCTTGTTGTCTGGGCCTGTCAGCTTCCAAGTCCAAGGTACAGTGGATTTGGATTGATGGTGCCAGGCTAAATACTCCTAAGTCCAAGGAGTAGGCCAAGCCAGCCCAGTGCAATGTGCAGAACAGGGTACTCAGACTCTCAAGGGCCTCAGGACACCCCGATGGGGAATAGGGTTGGATGGTGTTGAGACTCAGTCCATGCCCCAGAGTCTCTGACTGTCAGGCTTGAATGGGGCCCTACAGTCTGTATTTTCCTGGGAGTATACTATGGAATCCTCTGGCTGAAAAGAGAAAACAGTGACTGAGGAATGAATCCAGCAGCAGCCTTTAGAAGAGGACACAGCAGGAGAGGAGGCAGCTCACAAAAGGCACTCAGCAAAGGCTGGGAACTGGACCAGCATGGGAAGATGTCAGGGTCTCCCCAAATATATAAGAGGGAGGCTCCCGGCCATCAGAGAGTCCTCTGTGTTACCTATGCTTCCGGGCTAAACACTGAGTGGGACTCAGCCTCCTGGGATGCAGGTTTTAAGATGGATGAAAGGACCACAGCTGGTGATGTCACCTTTCAGGCTGCTCCCTCCTGGCCACATTGGGGTCACAGGGGCCTATGACAGTTCGCCAGGTAGTGACCACATCCTCGAAGCCCTCAGTCCTGGTGAGGATCAGGAGGTGGCTTGGTCCACTGCACATGTGATGTACCAGCTTCTCAAATGTCTCCTATGCACAGGGAGGGAAAACCGTGACCCAGGGCAGGAGCTGCTAGGGCCTGCAGAGGATCAGTAAGCCCATCTCACCCACAGGATGGGAGGGAGTTAGTGAGCAGCCTTGTTACCAGCCAGCAGGCCTGTGGCCACTCAGCCAACTGCACCCTGCCTCTGCCTGGCTACCTCTGTGTGCTGTGGAGGGTGTCAGGGATTGGATGGTAGTGATGACCAACCATTCAGAGAACCCAGAATGATGAGACTTTGAAGTTGACTCATTTAAGGATGAACATGAGATGATTATAAGTTAGGCAGAGATATTTAAAAGACCATTATCTATGGAAATTGTGTGATGCTGGATAACCAAAGGGTGAAATATAGTTGGCACTTTTTTTTTTCATGCAATGCCTCATAACCCTTCCTCCCTCGTCAAGTAACAGTACTCTGGTTTTCCTTTGGGGAACAGCTCTTACCCATTTCATTTGGTCCTAGTTTGACTGAAAACATGATGCCTATTCACACACACACACACACACACACACACACACACAAACACCTGACCTAAAAGGAAGGGCTCTGACCCAAGCTAGGCCAAAGCAGTTTCTAAAATGATATGCTTGACACTTTGCTGCTGAGATCCCTAGCTTCCCTTTGTCTCCACGCCCTTCTCATTAAACTCTTCATTCAATTCTGTGAGTTATGAGCTATCCTTCTAATATTCTTATTTCATTACTTAGAGTCAAAAGCTTTTCTTTGCAACCAAAAAAATTTTACCTGATAGCCTATTGTCATTCTGAGAACAAATTCATGACCTACTTGCTGTTCCTATTTTGGTTCTTCATAGTTTCTTCTGACACAAACTAATTATCAATCTGTAAGCATAATGTTGGAGAAAGAGAAACGAGAGTGTGTTGAACAGGTGGAAGTAGGTGAGCTGACCTCTCCAGCTCTGTGTTGGTAGAAAAGTCGCATTTCTGCCTCTGTCATGGTTCTCTCTTCATTTGTTAGAATTTCAAACCCAGCTTCCTGAATCTGTAGAATATATATAAATATTCTGAAAGGGTAAATCAAGCCCAAATTCACATTAATTAATTTAGTTGAAGGGTAAAAAATATAGACAGGCAAGATTAAAGGCTATGGAGACCTTTATCCCTACATTATCTGACCAATCAGATTTAACATTTTCATTTCCTTGAATGAAGTTTGAGCTACAACCCCTTAGAAGTCATCTTTCTGCACGAGGATATCACTGCCCAGTGCCCCATCCTGTTTATCCACAAGAGAAGACACAAGGACAGTGGTGCATGGTAAATGTTGTCTCTCTTACCTTCATAATAATCTCATCAGTCTTTCCATGGGCCACTGCATCCGGTTTAATGATGGCCAAGGTACAGGTCCTCTCTGATGAAACTAAATAAGCCAAAAGATGGCGCTATCAGATGCCGGTGTTTGAGGCTCTCAGGAGGCCAACCACAAAAACAATGCTGCCTCTACACAAGGCTCCATTGTACTAAGTGTCAGGCAGAGGCTTGGGCTCTCAGGGTTCCCTCCCCTGGCCTCTTAGTTTTGCCCCTGCAAACCTGGACTCTGGTGGACGCAGCAGTCTGATGCCAAACCTCAGCCTCCATCTTGCTGCAAGGGACAGAGACTCAGAGACTGGCTCAATGAACCTGGGCAGGTGGCAGAGGAGGGACATGGGGAAAGGGATTGCTGAAAGACTGCTTGGAACCAGAAATCCAGAAACAACTGAATTGAGTTGGCCTGGGGAGTAGGGAGAAGAGGAGGTATAGGAGAAAGTGAGAGGGGGGCCTGGAGCATGGGCAACACAGGCCTGACTGCCCTCATCCCTTCCTGTCACCCTCTCATGATTCCCAGTCTCTTCCGGCTGTCTGCCATGTGCTCTCCTCTCTACTGGCTCTTGCACTTCTGCTGCTTTTTCTCTTTCCTGCCATTGGCTAAAAATGGCTCCTCTAGGCCCTGAGCCTGCATGATGTTCCATGACTTCTTAGCTCCAGCACATACTACCAGATTGCAGTTTTAGTACTCTCTCTCCATTCAAGTTCTCCTGAGAGAAGCCAGATTGCCCCACTCATTGGTTTGAGCCAAGGTATCAGCCCTAGCTCACTGGCCAGTCTGCCCTTTGAAAGAGCATCCACCAGTCCAATTAGCTATGACAATGAGGGAGGTGCCACAGGATCAGAGTCCACTGCTGAGCCCCACAGGAGATGTAGGGAGGTCTGTGTCTCGTCCAGGAGCCCACTTCCATTGTCCTCCTGCTATGTTACGTAAACTTGTCTTTGGTAAGTTTTCTACACTCTCCACAGAATCATAATGCTCCCATCACCAGTTTTGTTTCTCAGCTTTTACGTTGGTTGTGTTGAAATGAAACAAGACAATATCTACATTTAAAGAGGGCTTTCTACTCTGAAAATCTCAAAAACATTTACTGTAAAAGTATAAATGATTTCAAGCAACAAATCTGTTATTCCTGAGATTACTATTTCTAACATGTTATGAATATTTAGATTTTAAGAGACGCATACAACAAATTCCATTATAAATTGACTGATTAGTGAGATCACCTAGAGGTAGAGGAAGAAGAGACGACCAAAGCAGGAGTCTGGGGAGCTTCAGCTTAAAAAGACACCACAAGAAAAGAAGCCAATGAAGGAGAAACTGGAGGAGAGGCCAGAGACATAGAAGGAAAGTAAGTCAAGTCATGATATCTCAGCAACTCGAAGATAAGGTTTTGGGAAGGAAGACATTGTAAACATCATCAAAATCTGCAGAAAAATCCCATAAGATCTGCACTGGAAACTACCTGTTAGTGCCACCAGTAAGCACCATTTCAGGGAGTAGTGAGCACAGAGGCCAGATTGCACCAGGTCAGGGCATGAATGGAAAATGAAGGTGGCCTAGAGTATGGACAAAGTTCAGGAAGTGTGGCTGTGAATAAGAGGAAGGCTAGGGGCAAGGGCGGAATCTTATGTGGTTTTTTAGGGGGAAGAGACTTGATTTGGGAGGAAATCATGGAGGAGGGAAGAAAGAGGAGGTAATGCAAAAGGGGAGAAACAAATGTCTCCTGCAGAATTACAATCACTGATTTTCTCTTCACCCTTGAAGTCTTGCTGTTCTAAACTGTGCCTCCTCCCTTGTTAGAATCCAACTCAAACAATTCTTATTCTCCACACATGTAAAAACAGTCTATTTCAAGCAATAATTTAAAAAATCTTCCTCCTCTTATCAACATACTTCCTGAGCCTAATTCTGGTTTTCCCTCATGTCTCAGTTACCACCAAGAGACACTGTCCCAGCAATAGCCTTCCTAACTCTTCGCTTTTTTTTCACTCTGTCAGGCCAAGTTGTTCTCATATGAAACCCAGGAGTGTAAAATCTGTGAGTTAATAGTTGGGTAATACAAGAAAGAGGTTGTAGGGCTTGGGGAAGGAAAGGCTTTCCAGTGTTTAAGAAAGAAGTGAAAAAAGAAGCTTGAGCTTTTTAGTTCAAATGAGGACTAAGGAAATAAACACCAGTATCCTTGCTTTCAATTGTTGGTGTTGCTCCCTCCATTTTATTAAATGCAGCTTTTGTTGATGACTGGTAATTGCGATGAAAGTCACACCTGTTATATTTGAACATAATCAAAAGCTGTGAAATGTGCCCAAGATGCTGGTAAAGATCAGAAGGGAGACTGAACACAGTATGTTTGAAGTCAAGTGACCGGAGAGAAGATATTTTATGGTTAAGCTTCCCAGAGTTCATCTGATTTATCTAGCAACAGGCTTCTCAGTAGAAATCACATGGGCCAGGAGACAGTGGAATGACATTTCCAAAATACTGAAAGACAAAAAAAAAAAAAAAAAAAAAAAAAAAAGACTGTCATACAAGAATACTGTATCCAGAAAAGCTATCTTTCACACATGAAGGAGGGCCTAGTGTGGTGCTCACATCTGTAATCCCAGAATCTTGGGAGGCTGAGGTGGGCAGATCACCTGATGTCAGGAGTTCAAGACCAGCCTGGCCTATGTGGCAAAACCCCGTCTCTACTAAAAATACAAAAAACAAAAGAACAAACAAAACAAAGGATAGAGTTCTTTTTTTGTTGTTGGTTTTTTATTTGTTTCTACTCTTTTTATAATCTAAGATAAGCTTTCATCTCTTGAAAGTAGCTTGCTATACCAGCCAGACGCAGTGGCTCATGTCTGTAATCTTAGCACTTTGGGAGGCTGAGGAAGGCAGATCACTTGAGGTTAGGTATTCGAGACCAGCCTGGTCAACGTGGCGGAGCCTTGTCTCTACAAAAAATACAAAAACTAGCCAGGTGTGGTGGCACACGCTGGTAATCCCAGCTACTTGGGAAGCTGAGGCAGGAGGATCTTTGAACCTGGGATACAAAGGTTGCGGTAAGCTAAGATCATGCCACTGCACTCCAGTCTGGGCAACAGAGTGAGACTCCATCTCAAAAAAAGAAAATAATTTGTTATATCTATGTTTTCTGTGGCCAGGAGCGGTGGTTCATGCCTGTAACCCCAGCACTTTGGGAGGCCAAGACAGGCAGATCACCTAAGGTCAGGAGTTTGCGACCAGCCTGGCCAGCATGGTAAAACCCCATCTCTACTAAAAATGCAAAAATTGGCTGGGCATGGTGGCATACACCTGTAATCCCCACTACTCTGGAGGCTGAGACATGAGAATCACTTGAACCCAGGATGTAGAGGTTGCAGTGAGCCGAGATCGTCCCACTGCACTCCAGCCTGGGCAAAAAAGTGAAACTCTATCCCCTCAGAAAAAGATGTTTTCTCTTAGCCTCGTGGTAGCCACAACACAAAAACTTATAATAGATACACTGAAAATGCAATGCTTGAAACATACTAGCAGAGAAAAATCACTTCAGCACAAAGGAAGACAGGAAGAAAGGAAGAGTTAGAAAACAACCAGAAAACAAACAACAAAATGACAATAGTAAGTCCTTACTTACCAACAATAACATTGGATGTAAATGAACTCCATTTTCCAATTAAAAGACATAAAGTAGATGAATGGTTAAAAAGCAAACAAAACCTGGCTGGGCACAGTTGCTCACACCTGTAATCCCAGCACTTTGGGAGGCTGAGGCGGGTAGATCACTTGAGGCCAGGAGTTCAAGACTAACCTGGCCAACGTGACAAAATCCTGTCTCTACTAAAGATACAAAGAATAGCCTGGATTTGTGGCACACACCTGTAATCTCAGCTACTCGAGAGGCTGAGGCATGAGAATCACTTAAACCTGGAAGGCGGAGGTTGCAGTGAGCCACAATCACGCCACTGCTCTCCAGCCTGGGTGATAAAGCTAGACTGTCTCAAAAACAAAAACAAATACCAAGAAATCAAGACCCAACTATATGCTGCCTACAAGAAATCAACTTTACCTATAAAGATAGGTAGACTGAAAGTGAAGGCATGGAAAAATATTTTGCAAGTGGCAACTGAAAGAGAGCAAGAGTAGCTATACTTCAATCAGAGAAGGCCACTATATAATGATAAAGGGATCAATTCATCAAGAGGATATAACAATTATAAATATCTATCCACCCAACACCAGAACACCCAAGTATATAAAAAACAAACATTAATAGATCTAAAAAGAGAGATAGACTGTGATACTATAATCATAGGGGACTTCAACACCCTACCATTAGTGATGGACAGATCATTCAGACAGAAGACATACATCGGAGTTAAACTGCACACTAGACCAAACAGACCTAACTGACATTTACAGAAGATTTCACCCAACTGCTACATAAAAGACATTATTTTCATCAGCACATGGAATATCCTCCAGAATAGAGCAAATTATAAGCCACAAAACTAGTCACAAGTTCAAGAAAGCAGAAATCATATATATCTATTTTGACCACAGTGAAATAAAATCATAAATCAATAACAAGAGAAACCTCAGAAGCTACACAAACACATGAAAATTGAACAACATACTCCTGAACAACAAATGTGTCAATGGAGAAATTTAAAAAGAAAATTTTAAATTTCTTGAAACAAATGAAAATGGAAATATACATCCAAAATCTATGGGATACAGTAAAAGGAGTAATACAGTAAAGGGGAAGTTTGTAGCAATAAATACTTACATCAAAAAACAAAGAAAGACTTTAAATAACCTAATGATGCACCCAAATACACTAAAAAAGCAATAATAAACCAAATCCCCAATTAGTACTAGGAAAAAAATAATAAAGATCAGAGCAGAAATAAATGAAATTAAGCCTAGAAAATACAGATCAATGAAGCAAAAAGTTGATTTTTTGAAAAGATAAACAAGCCGGGCACGGTGGCTCAAGCCTGTAATCCCAGCACTTTGGGAGGCCGAGGTGGGTGGATCACGAGGTCGAGAGATCGAGACCATCCTGGTCAACATGGTGAAACCCCATCTCTACTAAAAATACAAAAAATTAGCTGGGCATGGTGGCACATGCCTGTAATCCCAGCTACTCAGGAGGCTGAGGCAGGAAAATTGCCTGAACCCAGGAGGCGGAGGTTGCAGTGAGCCGAGATCACGCCATTGCACTCCAGCCTGGGTAACAAGAGCGAAACTCCGTCTAAAAAAAAAAAGAAAAGATAAACAAAATCAATGAACCTTTAACTAGACTAAGAAAAAAAGAGAAGACCCAAATAAAATCACAAAGAAAATGGGGATATAACAACTGTAAACCACAGAAATATAAAGAATTACTAGGTGCTATTATGAACAACTATATACAAACCAATTTTAAAACCTAGAAGAAATAGATAAATTCCTGGATATATGAAATCTACCAAGATTGAACCATGAAGAAATAAAAAACCTCTCCACAAACCAATAACAAATAAGATCATAACTGTAATAAAAAGTCTTCTGCCAAAGAAAATCTCAGGACCTGGTGGCTTCAATGCTAAATTCCACCAAGTATTTAAAGAATAACTAATACCAATTCTACTCAAACTCTTCAGAAAAAAATGAAGAGGAGGGAAAATTTCCAAACACATTCTATGAGGCCAGAATTGTCCTGATAGCAGAACCAGACAAGGACATGACAAAACAAGAGAACTAGGCCAATATCCCTGAGAAACATAGGGGCAAAAGTCCTAAACAAAATACTAACAAACCAACTTCAACAACACATCAAAAAGATCATTCACCATGTGGGATTCATCCCAGGGATTTAAAAAGGGTTCATCACATGTAAATCAATAAACGTGATTCTTCAAATCATTTTAATCATTAACAGAGCCAAGAAAAAACCATGTAATAATTCCAACAGCTGCTGAAAAACCATTCAATGAAATTTGAATTACCTTTATGATAAAAGCCTTCAAAACACTGGGTATAGGAGGAACATAAAACAATAAAAGCCATGTATAACAAACCCACAAACAACATCATAGTGAATGGGGAAATTTTCAAAACCTTCCCTCAAAGATACCAAATAAGACAAGGAGGCCTGCTTTTACCACTTTAATTCAAAGACTCCACCAAAAAAACTGTTAGAACTGGATAAAATCAGTAAAGTTGCAGGATACAAAATCAACATACAAAAACCAGTAGCATATGTATATACCAACAGCAAACAATCTGAAAAAGAAACCAAGAAAGCAATCTCATTTGCAATAGCTATAAACAATATAAAATAGGTAGAATTTGATTTAACCAAAGATGTGAAAGCTCTCTACAAGGAAAACTGTAATACACTGATGAAAGAAACTGAAGAGGACACACACACACACAAATAGAAAAATATTCCATGGTGATAGATTGGAAGAATTAATATTGTCAAAATGTTAATAGTTCCCAAGGCAATTTACAGATTCAATGCAATCCCTATCAAAATACCAATGACATTCTTCACAGACATAGACAAAATAATCCTAAAATGTATATGGAACCACAAAAGACCCCAAATAACCAAAGCCATCCTGAGCAAAAAGAACAAACCTGGAGGCATCACACTACCTGACTTCAAATTATACTACAAAGCTATAGTGACCAAAACAGCAAAGTACTAGCATAAAAACAGACACATAGAGAACCCAGATGTAAATCCACACATTTATAGACAGCTCATTTTAACAAAGGTGCCAAGAACATAAAATGGTGAAAGGACATTGTCTTCGATAAGTGGTGCTGGTTAAACTGGAGAACCATATGCAAAAGGATGAAACTACACCTCTATTTCTCACCATATACAAACATAAAATCAAAATAGATTAAAGGCACAATTCTAAGACCTGAAACTATGAAACTATCAAAAGACAACATTGGGGAAATACTCCAGAATATTGGTCTGACCTAAGATTTTTTTGTGTAAGACCTCAAAAGCATAGGCAACAGAAGCAAAAATAAATGAGATCACATCAAGCAAAAAATGGGAAACAAAGCAAAGGGAACAATCAACAAAGTGAAGAGACAATCCACAGAATGGGAGAAAATATTTGCGAACTGTCTCTCTGACAAGGGATTAATAAGCAGAATATATAAGGATCTCAACTCAAAAGCAAAAAGAAAGATAATCTGATTTTTAAATGGGCAAAAGATCTGAGTAGACATTTCTCCCAAAAAAAGGCATAAAAATGGCCAGTGGGTATATGAAAAAGATGCTCAATATCACTAATCATCATGAAAATGCAAATCATAAAATCACAATAACATGTTATCTCACCCCAGTTAGAATGCGTACTATAAAAAAAAAAAAGGAATAATGAGGTGAGGATGTAGAGGAAAGGGAATGCTAATATACTGCTGGTATGAATGTAAATTAGTAAGCCACTATGGAAAACAGTATGGAGGTTCCTCAGAAAACCAATATAGAACTACCATATGATCCAACAATCCCGCTACTGTGTATATATCCAAAAGAGAGGAAATCAACATATTGAAGAGATAGCTGCACTCCCGTGTTTACTGCAGCAACATTCACAATAGGCAAAATATGGAATCAACCTAATAGCCCATCAATGGATGAATAAAGAAAATGTGGTACATATACACAATGGAATACTATCCATTAATTTAAAAAATTAAAATCCTGTCATTTGTAGCAACATGGATAGAATTGGAGGTCACTATGTTAAGTGAAATAAGCCCCCAAGCACAGAATGACAAATAGCACATGTTCTCACTCATATGTGGGAACTTAAAAAATGGATCTCATAAAGATAGAGAGTAGTCTCCACTTCCAGAGGCCAGGAAGTGGAGAGAGAGAGAGAGATGAAGAAAGGTTGATTAATAGGTACAATCTACAGATAGAAGAAATAAGACCTGGTTTTCAAGAGATCAGTAGCGTGACTACAGTTAACATTAATCTGTTGTACATTTCAAAATAGCTAGAAGAAAATAATTTGGATATTCCTAGCATAAAGAAAAGATAAATAATTAAGGTGATAAATATCCCAATTACCCTGATTTAATTATATGAATATATCAAATTATCTCATGTACTCTGAAAATATGCACATCTATTATATGTCAATTTTGTTTTATTATACTTTAAGTTCTGGGGTACCTGTGCAGATCTTGCAGGATTGTTACATAGGTATACACATGCCATGGTGGTTTGCTGACTCCCTCCGCCCTTCACTTACATTCGGTATTTCTCCTAATGTTATCCCTCCCCAACCTCCCCACCCCCTGCTATTGCTCCCCTAGCCCCACACCCCCCAACGGACCCCAGTGTGTGATGTTCCCCTCCTGTGTCCATGTGTTCTCATTGTTCAACACCCACTTATGAGTGAGAATTTGCTGTGTTTGGTTTTCTGTTCTTGTGTCAGTTTACAGAGAATGATGGTTTCCAGATTCATCCATGTCCCTGCTATATGTCAATTTTTAAAAGAAAAAAATAATTATGAACCCTTAAAAAATCTCCTTAGAGTTCAGATTGCTCAATAAACTGAATACTCATCTATTTTAAACACACATCAAATATGAATCTGCTTTGCCTTTTTCCCTTGCTCATTGGTTCTCCACTCACCCATGTCCTCGTCTTCACCATTGTTCTTTCCATGGGAAACACATTCATCTTCATCAGAAAGAGCCTCATCTTTAATCTAGTACAAATTGGTTATTAATAGAAAGTAGTTAGCTAATTAACATTGCCACTAAGACCTTCAAAAAAAAAAAAAAAAACCGTAGAAACTAAAAAAAAGCAAAGCTCCAAAACACAGAAAATAAAATGGCAAAATTTACAGTCTGGGAAACTTTACAAGACCCTTTTTGGTAGTTGGGAGATGGTATGGGGCTGCCAGAATTAGAATACAAGAAAATCCATGCTTAAGTTTTAGAGTCTGCCTCTTTTCATAAGCAATAAGTAGACATGGAGAGTTGATAAGAAGACAAAGAATTGAAATGTAAGTAAATATTGAGAGATTGACTCCGCAGTACAGAGAAGTAGTAAAGAGAGATAATATTCCCTTGGAGGAGGCAGATGAATGTAAGCATTTGCAGTTTTCCTTTGTGAGGGAAAATTGCCAGCTTTCTTGGGGAAAATATGATTTGATTCTAATTCATTCTATAAAAAATGGAGCGTTGCTATTTGGAATTTAATAAGAAAACTTGAACAATGAACATGGAATGGTGTTGAGTCAGATTTGGCAGATGCTTAAAGCACCAGGAAATACCTCTCTACCTAGGTGTGTTGATTTTCAAAGGCAGCCAGTTATTTGAAGAACTGGCAGTCAGTGTTATCATGGAAATAATTTATCAAAATCACAAGCTATGCTGATTCTGCTTCTTATGTTCATGACAGATCTTAATTTCTAAGTTAAAGAAATGAGCCCTCTGGGTTCACAAGTAAAACCTTCAGGAATATGAACCAGTGGGTCACTAGGAGAGAGGGAGAGATTTCACCTCCTAGTGTTGAAGTGGGAGGTGAAGGGGAAATGGATAAAACAAATTAAAGTGCTCTGGATGAAAGAGATGGCTTTTATAAGAAGGGTTCCAAATGCACACATATCATCAGGGGACAGTACTCTCCTGCGTGAGGAACATCTCTAGGTGAAACTTTTATGAAGCTGTCCACCAGTGGCTCCAGGGAAGTCGGGTGAGGGGGATGGAAACTGCTGATCTCGCCCTACTAGTGCACTTGTGAGTTTGCTGCTTGTAGACTTGCCCTCCAGTTACCACTTTCCGTTCTCTGCCTTCAGCCAGCACTTTCTTTTCCGCCTCCAGCTGGTCTAAGATGGTTTTCTGCAGCAGTGGGGCATTTGCTCCTCTAACCACCGCCACCAGTTCTCCTCCCTAGAATACGTTACAAACAGCATGAAATGCTCTTGGCAAATATTAATCTCTTTCAAGAGATGGCAAGAGTGTCTAGGAGTGTGCCCACGATCAAGGTCTCTCAACCTCAGGTCCATGCAGGGTGCTCACTTCTGCTGCCTTCCCTTGGCAGGACACCTCAAGTCTGCACTGATCTCTGGCGATCAGAGACTTGGTTGAGTAGACCCAGTTTTCCTGACTCTAAAATCAGGGGGCTGATCTGACTGAGGAGGTATATTGATCCATTGCCATCAGGGCCTGGCAGGCGGCCTAAACCTAGGAAGCCAAGTATGAAACAGTGGGCCCTAAGTGGCATGGAGCTGGACCATGGATGTCACACCCAAGGACATCCAAATTATATTTTCAAAACACTGAGCCGCTTGGCTTTCCAAAATAGTCCCTCTCATTTCTAACTTTCTGTAAACATATCTTCACATCTGTGATTAAATAAAGTGAATGAAGAGCTTGTCTGCCCAATATTTACTAAAAATTTCCCTTTATGGAGCAGAGGATAGAAATCTTGAAACCCTGTGCTCTGAGAGTGAAGTCTCAGTCTAGAGTGTTCATGAGCCAGGAAGGAGCTTGTGCATTTGAGTGACTGGGAGTCTTTCCTCATGTACAGCAAGTCAGGAAGACCGCCCTAGCACAGTGACCACCAGGGTGCTGTGTCACCCACTTCCTTGGGTGCAGGACCCTCAGACCACCATCCTAGTCAGCAACTTGCATCATGACTTAGACTTGGGGGTGGGAGGGTCTGTATGTAGTCAACATCATAAAAACAGATTGGGAGACATCAGAGAAAACAGCATCACTTGTTTGAATCCCTGAGGCCTCTTGGTGGTTCCCATTAATTCTCCCAGGAAGAATTAATGTCAGTGAGCTGCTTCTATTTTGAACTCTAATGATTTGCAATCATCAAATAGTTCTGGTTCTGAAAATGTACTTACAGCATAAAACAGAAAGGTTGGTTCACACTTCCCTCGGTACTTTTCGAGGACATCAAGATGATCTGCCTCTGCCTAAAGAAAACCAACTATCAGCAGGCAACCCTGGGTGCACAGGTACAGGGCCCCATCGATCGATGGGAGACCACACGGGACGTAACACCTCCAGGACTGCCTTCCCCAAGTAGAGCCCCGACTTGCTCTCATGCTGCTCCTACTAATCAGAGCTGTCTTGTAAAATTGCAGACATGTACTCTCCTGAAGAATCAAACGAGGAGGTAGCAAGAGTATCTCCTGCTCCACGCGGCTACTGCCCCAGTCCAAGGGAGCTCTACTGTCTAATGTCCTTCTGCAGCCATGACTGACAACCAAGGTGAAGGTCTTCAGGCGCTGCCTTCAGTGTCTGAGAAACCTGCTGCACGTGGGCGTAAGAGATCCCCATGCAAGCCCTTCTGCAGCACATTCCCCATGGAAGCACTGACTGACTGCCAAAGGAGGAACTGCAAAGTCTTCGAAGTCCAACTTCTGAGTAATTAGTGTAAGTTACATTTTCTCCTGTCTTACTGCCTATGAACCTCAAACCCATGCAGCATATCAACAGTGTCTCTTGCACACTTCCCTAGAATTTATTCCCATTTCCGTACATTAATCCAAATAAATATCTGCTAAAAGTTCCCCTTTATGGAGCAGAGGATGGAAATCTTAAAACCCTTTGCTACAAAAGTGACATTTCAGTCAACAGTGTTCACAAGCCAAGGAGATGGGCTGGGGTGGCGGCTTAACGCCTGTAATCCCAACACTTTGGGAGGCTGTGGTGGGAGGATTGCTTGAGCCCAGGAGTTCTAGACCAGCCTGGGCAATATAGTGAGACCCTGTCTCTACAAAAAGTCAAAAAACTAGCCAAGCATGGTGGCATGTGCCTATGTAGTCCCAGCTAGTTAGGAGGCTGAGGTGGGAGGATCACTTGAGGCTAAGGCTGCAGTGAGCTGTGATCCCACCACTGCATTCCAGCCTGGGTGACAGGAGAAAGGAAAAAGAAGAAGGAGAATATCCATTTGAGTGACAGATATTTCTTCTCTTCATACAGCACCAAGAACTGCTCAAGCCAAGAGTGATATAGGGAAGGGGGTGGGGAATAGGAACCTTCATAGCTAGAGAAATTAGAAAGTATCATGGCAGTATCAACAAAAAGTCCACAGTGATTCCTTTTCAATGATCTGGAAAAAAGCCTCTCTCACACTTCTCCTTCCTGACTGTTTTAAAATTCTTTTTACAATGTTGTATGACTGCTGGCTGAGAAAGAATCTTACTAATGCAAAGTGCAGAAGGTCCAGGCCGACCTCGATCCTCATCTTCTGGAAGAGGCTCACCACGGGTTTGCAGGGGCCACACCAGCCTTGATAGACATCAACAACTGTGTAGAACCAAGAAGCAGGAACACTCAGTAGGCACCAGCTTCCACCAGGCAAAATTTATACCTGTACTTCTAACCCCCCTCAAATGGACATTCATTTGCAGGAGTATCTAGATTTACTACCCCATAAGATTATAAGCAAGCATGGAAACACATCTAGCCTCATTCTTATGAACTTGGTATACTGAATTCTAAATATAGTGAAGTACAGCAGAAAATTATTTTCTTAATATGGCTCCTTTACCTTAAGGGTTCTTCAGGCTACATTTAGGGTTAGACCTAACATAGAGTGGGCCTCAAAGATGGAATTAGACTGAAACTGTCTATTCTAAAAGGGAGAGGTCACTGTAGGTGACCCAGCAGCACACAATTGACTTTTATCTAATGCTTTGATAATAAACACCACTTTGACCTTTTCCTCTGACGAATTAAAAGCCACTTTGTTTGGGTAGAGTTTTATTTACTTTAGAAAATCAACATTTTTCTCCCAGAAAGTGAGCCTGATAGAGAGCTAGAGAGAAACTTGGATATCTTTTTCTTCTTTAGTCCCAATCTATAGTGCATGTCAAGGCTGGATGGTGGGGAGAGATTGCTGGAGGGGAAAGAAGAGCAAACAAGTCTGAACAGGCTGGGTTTCCAGTACCAACCAGAAAAGCTAAGACAAGTGATCACAAAGGCCACCAGACATCCAAGCAGGAGAGGCGGGCAGGAGAGTGGGATCTGGGTTCCACAGCATCCAGGTAGAGGAGAAAGTTCCGGGCTTTTCTGAAGACAAGAGTTTCACAATTGACAGATTTTTAAAATTTCATCCTACTACAGTTATGTGGGTGAAGGCCAAAAAGGCATTTGGGTCAAGCCAGGAAACAGTTCCCGAAGACTTAGAGGGCCCTGTACACAGGCTCACTGAAAAGGGCAGGTTTAAATCCCAAAGGAAAGAGGCTGGGGCCCAGTTAGCCTAAATTCTCTGTGCTGTATTTGTATTGATAGTGCACCCACCATTTCTACCAGCTTCTCCCTTCCTCTTGGACGCCCTGGCTCTGTGAGGCGTGACAGGCACAAGGGCACCTTCACAAGGTTAAGGAGGAAGCAGGGGTTGGGGGTGGGGGGTGGGAGGAACCAGAGAGGAAGCATAACAGAGAAGCCACATGGAAGGAATGGCAGAGACAATAAAAAGGGGTGTCTGCGTGTGTGCATGTATGTTTGTGTGCACGCATGTCATGCATGTGTGTGTGTCTGTGTGTGTATATGTAAGCCTAACGGGACTTTGGCATGTTTGAGAGCAGGTGAGAATGAGCCAACAGAAGGCAACATTTCCAAGATGCTGGTGGTTCACTTTGGAAGCAAATTTCTCCCGGCTGGAGAGAGAGAAAAGCACGTATCTATTTATTTATATGCTCCATATCTATATATTCCTCTAGTCTGCCTGATGAGAAGGAGCAGAGAGGAGGCCCTGCTGCCTTCAGTCAACACAGGCCCTTGAACCACTTAGACCAGGCTTGGCAGAGGGTCAGTGCTCAGTGGATGTTTGCTGCTATCACACAAGGTGCTTATCAGGGTGTTTGGCATATGATACATTCTCAAAAAATTATGGGATGGTGGTTTTTTCACGGTTGTTAAAGAAATAGAAATAATGATTTGTTGCACCAGGAGCCATGTTCCAGTTGCCCAGGCAAGACACCTGGACAGAATAGTTAAGTGTTGGCACCATCAAAAAGGCTTATAATCCCTCCAGCAGTAGAGTGCGGCAATACTCACACCCACACAACTGGATCAACATTTATCTAGCACCCACTCAGCCTAAATCCAAGATGAGAAAGCCAATGCTGGCCAGGCACGGTGGCTCACACCTGTAATCCCAGCACTTTGGGAGGCCAGGGTGGGCAGATCATTTGAGGTCAGGAGTTTGAGATCAGCTTGGCCAAGACGGTGAAACCCCATGTCTAATTAAAATACAAAAATTAGCTGGGCGTGATAGAACGTGCCTGTAATCCCAGCTACTTGGGAGGCTGACGCAGGAGAATCACTTGAACCTGGGAGACCGAGGTTGCAGTGAGCCGAGACTGCACCACTGCACTCCAGCCTGGGTGACTCCATCTCAAAAGAAAAAGCAAAAGCCAATGCTGTTGTGTTTAGAGTCCAGGAGAAAAGCTGTGATGATCTTTCCCTACAGGGGCTACAGCAACCAGGGTGTGTGCTGGAGGGACTGAGACAGAAACTCACTCCATGTGCCCTAGGGGCTCCCACAAGGGATGTGACCACACAGAGGTTCCAGAAAGATTTCATACAAGGAGGCTAATTTTCAGCTGGGTCTGGGAATAACAAAGATTTCTACAGGGCCATGATATCCCAGGTAGTAGGAATGACAGTAAAGAAAAGAACAGTAAAATAAAGAAGTGGGAAAACTTGTGGCATGTTTAGGAAACGTGTTAGAGCTCAGGACACACCTCAGGAAATGGTGGGTGAAGGAGCTGGAAGGACAGACTGAGTCCTGTCCTGGGGTAAGCAAGTTACCAGGCCACGAGTAGCCTCATGGAGAAACCAATGACAAGAAATTAATGTCTCTGGCCAACAGCCAGTGAGGACCTGAATCCTTCCTACCAACAGCCTCATGAATGAGTTTGGAAGTGGATCTTCTTAGGTCTGCCAACAGCCGCACTAAAGAGCTTGGAAGCAAATCAGCTCCTCGCTGAGCCTTGAGATCCCCTGTCTGACACCCTAACTACCCTAGTAAGACACTCTGAGTCAGAGGCACCCAACTAAGCTATACCCGGACTCCTGACCCACAGAAACAGGGATAATCAATGTTTGTTTTAAACCACTAAGTTTTGGGGTAAATTGCTATGCAGCAACAAATAACTGATGCGAGGCGGCTAGGGATGAGGAGGCCCATAGACAGTGGCTGTGCTGTTTCCTAATGACTGCAGGTACCAGTCCTCGTGATGTCTGGCTCTCCTGCCATCCTTTGAGTTCCAAGAGACCCCTGTCTTCCTTTCAATGCATTCTCCTTTAATGCCTGAGGTAATTAGAAGAGGTTTTCTGTGAATTTTAACACCAAACAACCCTGAGTACTGAGTACTGACTCATTTCCTGAACTGAATCCACTGATGTTCAAGCCAGACACACACCCCCACCCCCACACACCCCACCTGGTTTTATGAGGCTGAAGGTAATAGGAAAATGGTGTTCATTGCTGCCCTTCTCTTCGTGGTTCATCACACCGTTTAATGATTTTGAAAAGAATGGATCTAAAAACTTATTTTACTTTGAATTACCAGTTAGTCCTTTGGAACTGAGCATTTCCTCCCAAAGCTCTTGGGTGCTGATGTTGACCTAAAGCCAAAGAGGATCAAATGCCATATTACTGAGGGCACAGGCAGGGAAACAGCTCAATCTATTTGCTCTGGATTTCTCTCTATCTCTGAAATTCTTACAAGTTCAGTTCAAGTTATCTTCTCTCCCCTGTCTTTTCTCCTTCCTTCTGTCCCTGCTTCCCTACTCAGAAAAAAAAAAACACTATCCTAAGACTGATGTGTACTAGCCTCGGGCATCTAAAAAATAATTTTACATGTTATTTGTCCAGAAACAATATATAAATTGTTTTGTGTACTTAAAATGTGCATAAATGTATCAACGGTAGGTTTCATTTTGAAATCTGTTTTCACTCAGTATCAGAATTGAGTTGAATTTGTTGCCATTCACTCACATTTTTTTTCTTATCCACAGAGTTCTGGTTTTATAAATATGAAATACAAGGAGAAATACATATTCTCCCTCTTAATAGTAAAAATCTCTCTCTCTCTCTCTCTCTTTTTTTTTTTTTTTTTTGAGACGGAGTCTTGCTCTGTCTCCCAGGCTGCAGTGCAGAGGCGTGATCTCAGCTCACTGCAACCTCTGCCTCCCGGGTACAAGTGATTCTTCTGCTTCAGCCTCCTGAGTAGCTGGGATTACAGGCACCCACCACGATGCCCGGCCAATTTTTGTATTTTTAGTTGAGATGGGGTTTCACCATATGGCCAGGCTGGTCTCGAACTCCTGACCTCAAGTGATCTGCCTACCTTGGCCTCCCAAAGTGCTGGGATTACAGGCGTGAGCCACCGTCCCCAGCCAATAGTAAACATTTCTGTATAACGTTTTTTTACTTTCCTATAATTTCAAACTTACAGAAAGTGTGCAAGTACAGTATAAAGAAGATTTAGGTTTTTGTTTTTAGGTATTTGAAAGTAAGTTATGGCCTTTTATCTCATTACCCCTGAATATATTATTCCTACATAATGCAATATGATAATCAAAATCAGGGGAAAAAAACACTGACATATTGCGAACATTTAATCCTTAGATAGAATGCAACTTTTCCTATTTATCCCATAATGTCCTGAGTAGCAAAGGAGCTAGTCAGAAACATATGCTAGATTTATTTGTAAGTCCCTTTAGTCCAGAAGAATTCTTTAGCCTTTCTCTTATTTTCACAATGGTGACACTTTGAAAACTACATGCCAGGTATTTTGTACAATGTCCCTCAGTTGGGCTATATCTGATGTTTCCTTCTGACTGGATTCAGACTGTGCGTGTTTGGATTGGTTGAAATTGGCTGGACTGATTGGCATGTTGGAGAAGCTGAAGATCATGTGAGTAGCAGGTGCTGGTACCTAGCAGGTGATACACAATTTCCATCTGCCTATTACTGATGATGTTTGCTTTGATCACTGGATTAACATGGTCTGTCAGGCCTGTGGTCTGTAAAATTATCCTCCTTTCCTTTGTAATTAACATATTTTTGTGGTGAGCTACTTTGAAACTATATGAATTAAAAGATCACCAAAATTACTACTGGTTTTTGTTACTGTTACTTTGAGACAGTCTACCTGTGTCACCCAGGCTGGAGTGCATGATCATGGCTCACTGCAACCTCTTCCTCCCAGGTTCAAGCAATTCTCCTGCCTCAGCCTCCCAAGTAGCTGGGATAAGAGGCACCTGCTACCACACTCGGCTAAGTTTTGTATTTTTAGTAGAGACGAGGTTTCACCATGTTGGCCAAATTGGTCATGAACTCCTGACCTCAAGTGATCCGCCTGCGGCCTCCCAAAGTGCTGGGATTACAGGCGTGAACCACTGTACCTGGCCTACTACTGTTCTTAATACAGGTATTGTAAAGTCTGTGTCCCCTTAAAAAAAGATAGGATGCATTATTGGCAATAAGGGCAAGAAACATGTAACACCTGCAAATCCCCTATTAAAAGTCCCTTTTTTGGCCAAGCATCGTGGCTCACACCTGTAATCCCAACACTTTCTACACTTTGGGAGGCCAAGGCAAACAGATCACTTGAGGCCAGAAGTTAGAAACCAGCCTGGCTAACGTGGTGAAACCCTGTCTCTACTTAAAAAAAAAATATATGAAAGTTGCCCTGGGCATGGTGGCATATACCTGTTATCCCAGCTACTCGGGAGGCTGAGGCATGAGAATCACTTGATCCTGGGAGGTGGAGGTCGCAGTGAGCTGAGATTGTGCCACTGCACTCCAGCCTGGGCGATAGGACAGAGTGAGATTGTCTCAAAAAAGTCTCTCTTTTAAAGGAAGCGTACTCCTTACTTTTTAGTTTCAATGAAAAGTAGAAGAAAAAGAAATCCAGAAAAGTCTTCTTGGTGCCTTAAATGAAGTGAGAGATCTGGACTGACATACACCTGGGCCCACAATTACAGTCCTGAGAAAAGTGATAGAAGCGTTCAGAAGGGCCCCCACCCCTACCCAGAGGCTCAGCTGTAAGTCACCAGCAACTCTCTGTGGCCCACCCCTATCACGGAGTGAGCCCCACTAGCTCTGGGGCCAGGACTCTGGGCAGTTGAAGAATTTCAGCCCTGGGAGCTGGGCAGGAGCAGAACAGTGTAGGAACTATCTGGACCTCACTAAGCCCTGCATTTGGTAGGGAATGAATAGGGAATGTGTGGCACCTTTTAACCAGACTGCCCCTTGTGATTTCTGCCTGTCTCAGTCACAAATGGAACCCTGACTAACCTTGCTGAGAGAGAGGACAAGGTTCCTGGGTCAGCCAACTTTAGGCACCGCTTTCAAGGGGTTTACCTTAAAGAGAGGTGACTTTTACACAGATGCTTAAATGTAAGAGGGGAGGGGAGGCCACTCACTCTCCTCTGTCAGCAGGAGGGAGCACTTACTTGGAGTACTGCATTGTACTCAGAGCCTGAGTAATAGACATGAAAAAATAACGTTGCTAACAAAAGTTATTAACCCCATAGGAGATCTAGGGCATCAACACATGTAATGACCATAATACGGGACAATAACATTAGAGACACCACAGACCGCATCAGACCACCCAGGAAGTATCTAAATAAGTCTCATCACAGCTCTGCAGGTGATGTATTATCCCTCCTGTCTATGTAAAGGATATGGAGGCCAGGAAGTTGAGGAAATGAGTCACACAGCAATGAATGGTAGGACCAGTTGCTCAGAATTTACTTTGCCCAGAACATTCACATATGAATTGCCTTCTAACTCTAGAATCCTAGAATATCAAGGCTGGAAGAAGGCCCTTGGGGATAATTCACACAACATCCTCATTCCATAGATGGGCAAGCTATAGCCCAGAGAGGTTATGTGATATAGTCAAAGACACAGTCGGCTCTAGAGGACACCAGAACAACATCAGGTCTTCAGACTTCCAGTCTAAATATCCCACCCCACCCCACACCCCTCCCACCCCCAGCATAAACTACCCTTAGAATGATGCTGCTTTCCCTGCCCGTTCCTCTTCGTTAAACCACTAGGCTTTTGAACTCCACATGTAAACTGCTGATCCCACTGAGGACAATAAGAGAGAAACCAGGTGTCTCAAAACCACTAAAGCTCTATACTATCCAGGAGACGCTGTAGCCTGAGTATGCATCTTATTGGGGCCAGCTGACGAAGAGACATTGTAAAGTTTGTTTTAAAATGTTCCCATGTTACAGATCATCCAGATGATCTCCTATGACAAAGCACTGTCTCCCAATTCCGGGGTCTATGCCTGCATGCTTTTACCATCACTTCAGAATCAACCACCAAGAAGAAGAGCAGTTGCTGGCTTCTGAATTCACTTGTCCTAGGTGCAAATGAAGTAAGCACACTATATATCAAATGCCCAGCACATAATATATCTCAAAACATGTTTGTTAATAAGTGAAATTTTATGAGAACAGTGGTGGGAAAACTGGGTCTCCACAGAGCACACAGTTACAGACTCATGCCCAAACTCAAACGAATCTGTACTGTATTCTCTGTGCAAGCTGCAGTTATGTTTCAGCAACAACAACAACAAAATAATGGTCACATCGAATTATGTTGATTCATATTTTCCTGGTTTGTAGTTTTATTTAATGCATGTTTAGGTTTTTTGGTTGTATAAGCGCTATAAATATAAACAGCTTCTCAATTTTGTTTGCATAAATTTTGTTTGCATAAAATGTGTCATCACTGGGGCTCCAAGATAAGTTTTGTCCCTTTAAGACGGAAGGGTACATCACTCAAGTTTGAGAATACCGTCACGTATTGCTGGCAAACAGAATGTCACTTTTATACTGCAACCCGCTCCAATCACCCTCCTCTTGCCCGACCCCAACCCAATGCTGGAAGCTAGCGCCCCCGGAGGCTTACCTGCAGGGCAACTTCCTTCTTCCTGCTGCCCATGGCTCTGCAAAGAAGACGAAGCCCTGTTACCGCGGCCGTGGGCCGTTCCCCCGCAGCCGCTGCGCGGATCAGCAAGCCCAGAGCCTCCTTCAGACAAGCCCCCCACTACGGCCCCCGGCCCCTTTTTAAGGTGCTTCTAAGTGGCAGCAAATCAACACATTGATACCAAGGGAACACCCCACGAGGAAGCGGAGCCTGCAGCCCACGGGCTCGTGGCTCGCCCGGCGGTTTTCCGGGGATCTTCGAAGCCCCCTCCCCACCCCAGAGCCGGCCAGGGGGCGCGCGCGGAGGCCCGAGTCAGTGCGCGCGGCGCGGTGCAGCCTGCGGGGCACGGGGTCGCCAGTCGAGGAATTCGGACAAAAAAAAAAAGACATGGGACCCTGTTATCCCCGCTGTTGTCATGGATTACTGGGAAACTGAGCCACAGCGAACGACAGGTACACGCTCTTCGACGCGCCGGAGTCACCAACCGAGTCTGCTGCGAGGTAGCCGCGGTCGTCATGGCAACCTGGCCCCCCTGCCAGGCCTGCCTGGAGAGCCTGCGGACACGTAAGCCACGCCCACTCAGGGCCCAACGCAGTCTCTTCGCGGAGACCGAAGCCAGCCCGCGAGAGGCAGGAGGGAGTCCCGCCCCTTGCCCTCCGTGTCGGCCTGTGGGAAACCACTCATTGGCTGGAGCGTTTGTCAGCGTCTGGAGGCTTTGAACCCACCAGGCAAAGACCCAGTGCATCTCTGTGCGTTGCACAGTCGCATCTGTGAAGCCCTGCGTCTCTCCTGCCCTGCCTGCCAAGACCGATGTGCAGCTTTTCTACCATCACATACCGGTATAATGTGTCCAAGGTAGGTGGTGGCTCCAGATTTTGAGGGGGCTGCAAGCGTTCTGTTTAAGACAAAGAATATGAAAGTACAAATTCAAAATTAGATATGAAAGTCGAGTGAGAAAACAGTTACAAACATTGTAGATATTAATCCAACTGTATCAATAACCACTTTAAATGCGAATAGTCTGATTACATCAGTTAAAAGAGAGATTGTCAGAGTGGATATCAAAAACAAAGCCCAGGTGTGTGTTATTCACAAGAAACATACATTAAAAGCAAAAGGATAGAGAAAGCTATACCATGCTGACATTAATAATTAAAAAAAAAAAAGCTGAAGTAGCTATGTTAATTTCAATAGAAGCAGACTTCAGAACAAGGAAATTTATCAGGGGACAGGGACATTACATAAAGTTAAAGGGGTCGGTTATTTGGGAAGACATAACAATACTTAATATGTATATACGGAACAACAGAGCACCAAAATATGTGAGGCAAAAAAAGGTGAAAGGAAAAATAGGTAAACTCACTATTATAATAGAATATTTTTACACAATTTTTAAAAAGTACAGTAATACATCCAGCAGGCAGCAAATGAACAAGGATATAGTTGAACTGAAAAAAAAAAATTGATCTAATTGACATTTATACAATACTTAATTCAATAACAGCAGAATATAGATTCTTTCTCAAGCCCACATGGGACATGAACTGAGATAGACCACAAACTTCTAGGCCATAAAACATAGCTTAAGGCCGGGCGCGGTGGCTCAAGCCTGTAATCCCAGCACTTTGGGAGGCCGAGGCGGGTGGATCACGAGGTCAAGAGATCGAGACCATCCTGGTCAACATGGTGAAACCCCGTCTCTACTAAAGGTGCAAAAAATTAGCTGGGCATGGTGGCACGTGCCTGTAATTCCAGCTACTCAGGAGGCTGAGGCAGGAGAATTGCCTGAACCCAGGAGGCGGAGGTTGCGGTGAGCCGAGATCGCGCCATTGCACTCCAGCCTGGGTAACAAGAGTGAAACTCCGTCTCAAAAAAAAAAAAAACATAGCTTAAGCAATTTAAAAGAATAGAACAAAGTATGTTCTCTGACTACAATGGTATTAAACTAGGAATCAACCACAGCTGATGAAAGAAATCGAGATTTAAATACATGAAGAAATATTCCATGTTCATGGAGAGGAAGAATTAATATTGTTAAGATATCAATTCTTCCCAATGTGATCTATAAATTAAATGTAATTCCAAACATATTCCCAGCAAGCAAGCTATTTTGTGGATATCAACAAACAAATTCTGGATATATATGAAAAGGTAGGAGATTCATAATAGTCACCATAATATGAAGAAGAAAGAATGAAGTCAGAGAACAAATGCTACCTAAATTCAAGAGTTATTATAAAGCCACAGTTATCAAAACAGCAAGATATTAGTAAAGAATAGATACATAGGCGGGGCGCGGTGGCTCAAGCCTGTAATCCGAGCACTTTGGGAGGCCGAGGCGGGTGGATCACGAGGTCAAGAGATCGAGACCATCCTGGTCAACATGGTGAAACCCCGTCTCTACCAAAAATACAAAAAATTAGCTGGGCATGGTGGCGCGTGCCTGTAATCCCAGCTACTCAGGAGGCTGAGGCAGGAGAATTGCCTGAACCCAGGAGGCAGAGGTTGCGGTGAGCCGAGATCGCACCATTGCACTCCAGCCTGGGTAACAAGAGCGAAACTCCCTCTCATAAAAAAAAAAAAAAAAAAAGAATAGATACATAGATTAATAAAAGAGAGTAGAGAGCCCAAAAATAGACCTATGTACATGTAGTCAACTGATCTTTGAAAAAAGGGCAAAGGAAAGTCAATGGAGAAAGAGTAGTCTTTTCAACAAATGGGCATGGGATAATTTGATGTCCACTTGCAAAAAGAAAAATTTTAATGATCTAAACATAGAATTTATACGTTTCACAAAAATTAACTCAAATGGATCCTAGTCCTAAATATAAAATGCAAAACTATGAAACTTTTAGAAGAAAACATAGCAGAAAATCAAGGTGACCTTGGGCTTGGTGATAACTTTTTAAACACAACAGCAAAACCATAATCTATGAAAGAAAAAATGATCAGTTGGACTTTATTAAAATTTTAAAACTTGTTCTCTGCAAAAGACTATGAAGAGAATGAAAAGACAAGCCATACACTGGGAGAAAATATTTGCAAAACGCACATCTGATAAGGGCCTTGTATCTAAGATAGACAAAGCCCAACAATAAGAGAACATAAAACCCAATTTTAAAATGGGTGAAAGATCTGAACAGACATCTCACCAAACAAGATAGAAAATAAGCTTACAAAAATGATACCCAACCTCATTTGTACAACCACTTTGGAAGACAGTTTGGCAGTTTCTTATAAAGCTAAACATAGGCCAGGTGGGGTGGCTCAAGCCTGTAATCCCAGCACTTTGGGAGGCCGAGGCGGGTGGATCACGAGGTCAAGAGATCGAGACCATCCTGGTCAACATAGTGAAACCCTGTCTCTACTAAAAATACAAAAATTAGCTGGGCATGGTGGCGCATGCCTATAATCCCAGCTACTCAGGAGGCTGAGGCAGGAGAATTGCCTGAACCCAGGAGGCGGAGGTTGCGGTGAGCCAAGATCGTGCCTTTGCACTGCAGCCTGGGTAACAAGAGCGAAACTCCGTCTCAAAAAAAAAAAAAAGCTAAACATAGCCTTACCATATGATCTGGCAGTTGTGCTCCTAGATATCTACCCAATTGATTTGAAAATTTATGTCTACACAAAAACCTGCACATACATTTGCATAGCCACTTTATTCATAATCATCAAAACTTGGAAACAGCAAAGGTGTCTTTCAATAGGTGAATGAATAATCAAGCTGGGACACAGCCATACAATGGAATATTATTTAGTAATTTAAAAAATGAGCTATCTGGCCGGGCGCGGTGGCTCAAGCCTGTAATCCCGGTACTTTGGGAGTCCGAGGCGGGTGGATCACGAGGTCAAGAGATCGAGACCATCCTGGTCAACATGGTGGAACCCTGTCTCTACTAAAAATACAAAAAATTAGCTGGGCATGGTGGCGCGTGCCTGTAATCCCAGCTACTCAGTACGCTGAGGCAGGAGAATTGCTTGAATCCAGGAGGCGGAGGTTACGGTGAGCCGAGATCGTGCCATTGCACTCCAGCCTGGGTAACAAGAGCGAAACTCCGTCTCAAAAAAAAAAAAAAAAAAAAAAAAAAAAAAAAAAGAGCTATCAGTCAGGCATGGCAGCTCAATTCTGTAATCCTAGCACTTTGGGATGCTTGGGTGGGATGATTGCTTGAGACCAGAAAAGTCTGAGATCAGCCTATGCAACATAGTGTGAACCTGTTTTTACAAAAAAATTAAAAGTTAGATGGGTGTGGTGGTGCGTGTCTGTTGTCCCAGCTACTCCAGAGGCTGAGGCAGGAGGATGGCTTGAGCTCAGGAGGCTGACATCACAGTGAGCTATGATCTCATCACTGCATTCCAGTTTGGGCAGCAAACTATAGGGGTAGTAAAAAGATCAGTGGTGGCCAGGAATGATGGCTCATGCCTGTAATCCCAACACTTTAAGAGGCCAAGGCAGGAGGATTACTTGAGCTCAGGAGTTCACGACCTCATCTGTACAAAAAATAAAAAATGAAAAATTAGCCAGGTGTGGTAGTGTATGCCTATAGTCCCAGCTACTCAGGAAGCTGAGGTGGGAGGATTGCTTGAGAAGGGGAGGTCATAGCCTAAGTGAGCTAAGATCATGCCAATGCACTGCAGCCTGGGTAACAGAGCTGAGAGCTTGTCTCAAGGGAGGGAAAAAAATATATATATATATATATATCAGTGGTTGTCAGGGAACCAGGGAGGTTGGAGAAAGGATTAGAGGTGAAAACAGGAAATGTTTAGGGTAGTAAAGCCATTCTGTATGATACTTTAATAGTAAGTATACAACGTTATGCATTTGTCAAAACCCATAGAACTTTACTGTACAAAAAGTGAACTTTAGTGTACGCACACATTTTTTAAAAATCGTATTGGAGCCGGGCGCGGTGGCTCAAGCCTGTAATCCCAGCACTTTGGGAGGCCGAGGTGGGTGGATCACGAGGTCAAGAGATCGAGACCATCCTGGTCAACATGGTGAAACCCCGTCTCTACTAAAAATACAAAAAACTAGCTGGGCATGGTGGCGCGTGCCTGTAATCCCAGCTACTTAGGAGGCTGAGGCAGGAGAATTGCCTGAGCCCAGGAGGCAGAGGTTGCGGTGAGCCGAGATTGCGCCATTGCACTCCAGCCTGGGTAACAAGAGCGAAACTCCGTCTTAAAAAAAAAAAAAAAAAAAAAAATCATATTGGAAATTGAAGGATCCCAGAAAGAAATGCAGACTGTGACAAGACAATGTAACTGTATTATAAATGTATGAAACAGCTTCACTAAAGATGGAGGGAGGAAAGGTACTAACCTAAGTAACTCTGGAAATGAATAGAGTCCATAAGACTAAAGGCAAAACGAACTATATAATAAAGCTATGTATATAAACTATATAATTAAGACAAAAGGAACTACATATAGTATATAAGCACTATTCTATAGCTGATAAAGTTGTTTCCCTTTGGAGTGTAAGTTAACAATTCTGATACTGCTATACATGTATACTATAATTGAACAATTTAGTAAAGGGATGATGGGTAGTGAGAGCCATGAAAAAAATTAATAAATGGGGAGAAGAGACACATTGCTCATGCAGGGCT